GTACTGCTCAGCATTCTGCCCACTGTTCCTTCACCAATCTCTTTCAGGCCCATCCCTCAGTGGGGCTGGCTTCTCTTACTTTTAGCCAGTGCCAGCACACTGTGTATGTCCATCAATAAACAGGCATGACTTTTTCCTCCTCTGCTAACTGACCTTAGGATCCTTCCCATAAGCCTTAAGTGTGCCTTTGGAGAGAGCTAACAAGGGGGGAGGAACAAGTACCAGGCAGAGTCTATGCCACCAGTCCCTGCAATTTCTTGTGCCATCCAGACTTGCTAAGGCCTCGTCTTGCTTTTTTTAAATTTTATTTTATTTTAGAGACAGGGTCTCACTATGTCACCCAGGCTGGAGTGCAGTGAGTGTTCACAGGCATGATCCCACAATTAATCAGCAAAAGAGTTTTCACCTGCTCTGCTTCTGACCTGGGCCTATTTACCTATTCACCCATTCTTAGGCAATCTGGTGGTCCTCCACAGCCAGGAGGTGACCATATTGACATTGAATTTAGTGCAGACACTTGATTGCCATAGTGCACGATAGCCCAGAACTCCTGGGCTCAAGTTCTCCTCCCACATTAGCCTCTTGAGTAGCTAGGACTACAGGTGTGTGCCACTGCACCCACCCCTGTCTTGCTTTTACTGTACCAAGTAGAATGCTGCTGTACACGTGCAGTTCTGCGATTCAGTGAGTCAGATAATATTCTGTTCATGTTGGGCCTTGTTACGTACTCTCTTGATTTTCCATAGGCAGGTATCTAATCTCTACGTGGACTGAGTAGCAAACCAAAAACCAAATAGACAGTAGTTGTTGGCAAACCCTAAGGGGTCTACAACTCTTATTCTTTTATTGGTGCTCTTTAACCCATTCAGAGGCTCTTTAACTCAGAGGCTCTTTAACCCATTCCTGTCTGCCACATCATTTCCAGTGCTGCTGGGTGTGCTGAGGCATAGGCTCAAGAGTTAGGGCTGCTTTCATTGCTGTAGAACCTTCTCTTGGAACAGGCTTCGATAAAAACTGGCAGCCTTATGGGTTACCCAGTAAATGTGTCAGAACAGCATATCCAAATATGAAGCTCACCAGTTCTTTTGCCTCCTCAGTGGAAGTGGGTACCGGGTGTAGTAATTTCTCTCATTTGAGGTGGGATATCTTGTCTCAGACCAGTAGAACCCTAGGAAACATCAATGTGGCAGATCCCTGAACTTCAGTGGGTTTTTCTCCCATCCTCTGGTTTTCTTGTGTGTCTCACACAGTTGTCCAGGGAGCTTGCTACGTTTTGTTCATCAAGTATGTTGGCATTAAGATAATGCCATCAGTGTGATGGGTGATCTGTGAGCTATCAAGGTGATCAAGGTCCCTCCAAGGCTTTATTATGACAATGTAGACATAGACCTCAGGTAAGACAAATGAGGATATACTGCTGCTTCTGCCACTTCATGGCAAATTGCTTCTCATTGTCCTTACTGATGGTGATAGAAAAGAAAGCATTTGCCAGGTAAATAGTCATATACCAGATACCAGGTTATCAAATTTGTACCAGCAAAAAACCATCACATTTAGAATCATACCTATAATTGGCATCACCATCTGATTAAATTTGTGGTAATCCATAGTCATGTCCTAAGATCTTTCCGGTGTTGGTCCAGGCAAATGGTCAAGTTAAATGGGGATATAACAGGATTTAACATCTCTGCATCCTTTAAATTTTTGATAATTCTACAGATTTCCAAGCTTCTCCCATGGATATGATATAGTTTTGGGTTTCTTCTTAGTGGAGGAAGGGGAGACTGTTCCAGAGCTACTTCATGGCTCTTTCTCCCATCATAGCTTTGATGACATAAGACAGGGAACTAATGTCAATTTGGCCAGTTACTAAGTATATCTATTTCCACTAAAATTCGAGGACTAGGCAAATAAGCACAGGATGACCCTATGGTCCCATTGAACTCACTGTGAGACACTAGGGCTGGCTTCATCTCTTACTTGGAAGTCTCATTCCTACTGGGGGACCACATTTTGGGTCCCCAGGGATTAGTGTCAGTTCAGAGCTTGTATCCAGTAACCCTTAGAAGGATTATGTATATTTCCCTTTCTGCAATGGACAGTCACCCTTGGGAATTGCCGCAGGTCCCTCTTGGGAAGGGCCTAGAGAAGATCAACAGTATACACTCGTGGCTGTTGAAAGGGTCACAGTAATCTTGTATTTAGTCCTCTTTGGTGTGAGTATACTCCTGTATGTGCTCTCCAGACTCTTGCTGGTAAAAATTGTTAAGATTCTGCAAATGTTTTGGTATAAAGGCAGTCTTCTCCCAGAGTAGGTTTTGAGCTTCTTTCTGGGCTCTTTTGGGTTATGAGATATGAAGGGTAGTGGGAGTAGGTGGTGAAGAGAATTGGCATCTACTTGTGAAACAACTTGAAGGGGTTTTATTGGCGGTTCAGGCATTGGGAGGCTGTGTCTCCTTAGTGGGGGGGTGTAGGTTGCTGCTTTCAGGAGGGAAGTTCGGCTGAGTTTGGGGTTCAGTATTCTTAGTCTTACCTGTGTCTACCCACATGCCTGCATCTGTGATTCAGCTTCATTCTCCTTTTCAGCCAGTGCCCTATGTTAGCACACAAGACTTTTCAGGGTGGCATGTTTAATTGGGTCTGCAACTCTTGCCATCAAACCTTGGGCTTGATCCTTAGTCCTGTCAACTCGGCAACTATAAGAGATAAAACAGTCTTTAAAACAGCTGTAGATTTTCCACCCATCTGTTTGGAAATTCACAGCTTATAGTTTGTCATTTGCTTTGTGTGCATTCTCAAGGACAGCCAGAAGCAGCCCCAGTCCATGTTACAATCTCTGAAGTCATTGTTTTTATCAGCCACTTGGACTTCAAACGCTTCTGCCCTTCAGCTGCATTCTATCCTGAGACACTGTGCACAGGAGGTAGTTTGAGTGACCATGATGTCCCTGTGTGCAATCCCCTACCTCTATAGGAAGGTTGTCAGGGCACTTAGCAAATATGCATCCCATTTTTGAGACTGTGTTTTCTGGGGTCATTCTTGGTGCCCATTAACTGCATCCGTCACATGGTACATGGCACACTCAAAATTAATTGAAGGGAGCCAAACAAAGGGACTGTTTACTAAGATGTTGTAGCCCGGGTTATGGGAACCAACTAGGCATGGTGAAGCACCCTCTTTACCAACAAAGTCAGGAAGCTTCACCTGTAGCTGTGGGAGAGGGATTGCCTGGTAAGAACTGTGGTCTTAGGCACTTGTGTCAGAGAGGGACCAGGGGGAATAAATACCTTAGCATCTTGCTTCTCCTACCCTCTATCTGCTAGTGCCTGGCATTGCCTGAACCCAGCTAGAAGCCAAGGACAAGAAGGTGGGCTGCCTCAGTGTGCAGTCCATAGAGGTCAGCTTTCTCATGTGGCAGGTGGGAAAGAGTGCATCTGGCAGCATAAATGGAGATTATCTAGCACAGTTGCCAAATTGGAGCCTCTGCCCCAGGTGTGAGTGTGCACCTTGAGCATAGGCTTCTACACCTAACTGCCTGCTGTGCGTGTACTCTTAGATGTCCCTTGGGCACCTTGTATAAACAACTTGTCCTGCCTACTAGCTCTTTCCTCGTCTTTCTTCCTGATGCCACTTCATGTGGCACCTTACTGTTTCTTCCAAAGGGAAGGTCTGAGGCCTGACATCTTCCTGGAATTCTGTTCCTGTGTGCTGTAGCACAATAGGCACAAACACATATTTAAGCTCATACATAATGAAATACCAGCAGGCCTTACCACCCTCTGAGTCCCACTGTCTCAAGGGAGAGGTGTGGAAAATGTAGCTCATAACCTTTACACTCTGTGGCAGTGGAGAAGGATGGAATAATGTGGGTTCTAAGGCTGCTGGACAAGGCCAGTTGGCCTTAGAAAGGCCATGGGTTCCACCTGCTCTCATGCTTAAGCTGTGACAGGAGGGCAGAGCGCTGGTCAGGTGTTGCCCTGATCTAACTGGGGCCAAAGCAGCTGCTGTTGTAGGCCTTTAAGATGCTGTAACTTTTACAGTCAAATGCTGCACTCTGCATTTATGAGTGAGCCAGTTACATTTCCATATTTTCTAACCACAAATTCAGCTACATATAAATCCTTCTTGAATGAATTTCCAGCAGCAAATCCAACAAGATAAGTTTTGAACCATTTCAAAGGAAGCACCATCTCGTCAGTTAAAACTCATTATGCCTGAATAAGGTTATAAGCTGACATTTACAGTGGTCAGATTTGTTAGAGTGATTTCCTGGAACGAATCATGAAGGAAAATTACCCAGGCAAACTGACCCTCTGAAAAGTAGTACTTGGTGTCAGAAGAGAGTATGGGCTGCTGTGTGTAGCAGAGGTGATGTCAGTGTGACATCTCACACCCCTTGTTCATGGGAGGAACGATATTAACATACTACATTTCTTCTGTATGAAGATATATACCATAATGTCTGTAACCAGGGGTTCCTTGCATAAGAATCATCCACAGGTGTTAAAATGCACATAGTACAGTGGTTAACAGATAGTACTATGGAACCACACTGCTTGGGTTCATATCCTGGAGGCGTAAATTATTTCACCTCTTTGTGTCTCAGTTGCTTCATTTGTAAAACAGGGGTCAGTAGTTACCTACTGTATGAGATTGTAATCTGAATTGTTCAGTGAACTCCACAAGTCTGAAAGCCACATGCAACTAGAGCTTTTTAGGTGAGCATTAGCCTTTGGTCCACATGAACTGTGGTGTACAATCTCCTGGAATTTACTAGGAGTAAGGAAGGTAGATGGGATGTAAATGTTTGATTGTGGTTTAGTGATAGAAACATAAAAATCTCTAATGTGGACTGAGACTTACGAGCAAAAGTAATTCCTGCTGGAATAAACATAAAATGGGTCCTAGGCACAGGAATGACAAGACATAGTATTTTTAAAAAATTGTTTTGCTAATTAATTCTTTCTTTTTTTTTTTTTTTCTTTTTCCTGTTGGTTAAGGTTGCATGATGGAATTTGAACGTTACTTCAAGAGGTTTTATATTTTGGATTAGTTAATTGGGTTTATCCTCTGCTGACTGTTTCTTCGGACTCATTTTTTGGTGTCATTTGTTTTGGACTCATTTCTTTGGACCCACTTTTTGAGGCATTAAACTCAAAGAGATTATACCATGGACTACAAGGAAAGCTGCCCAAGTGTAAGCATTCCCAGCTCTGATGAACACAGAGAGAAAAAGAAGAGGTTTACTGTAAGTATGTAACATAAAGCTTATGGGGAAAACTGATTATAGAGACTATTTCCATTTCTGTTTTGCTTTCCTAACCTAGGACACCCCATTCCCTCATCACCGCATATCCAGATTTTACTTCTTTCAAATGGTATTTCCCCCACAAAGTCTTCCCTGGCCACTGTAATGGAATACATTTTCATTTTTTAGTTCAGATTTTTGCCTTTTTATCTATCCTCTTGGAGAATTTCGTGAAACTTTTGATTAATCCTCTAACCAGCAAATGTGCATGTGCTTACATATGGATCTCCATACACACTAAAATTTTACATGCACTGTCAGAGGTTAATGGACTCTTGAAGTCATTGATCCCATGTCAAGAACATTCTCCTGAAATGGTTATAGTGTCTTCCTTAGGACTTCATTTTCAGCCTCAGTTAAAAAAATCTTTAATTCAGTATTTTATCTTTTTTTTTTCACCTTAAAAGCAAAGACCATTTCTAGTTTTATTTCTTAATCATCATAGGGCTTTATAAAGAGTAAACACAATGAATATTTGCTTAATCAGTGTATCAGTGACTGCTATTGGAGAATAGTCACTTTTCTAGTTAATGTAATAAAATACACAATATTGTATTTAGTTCCAGTAGTGCAGTTAATATATACAGAGACCTCCTGCCCTCTTTACCCCGAAAAAATGTCATGTATCTTGTTTGTAGCTGATCTCGTCTTCCCTGTATGTCTGTCCCCTACCCCCCTTAACTGAAGAGTATGAAGAAATTCATTTAACCTAATTCTGTTTAACACTTAGTTTGATCTAACAATTTAAACAGTTATTTTAGGTTAAAATGCCCAAGCTGTCTAAATTTTGCTCTCTTTGTCTAATTTGAACACATGTTCCTCCTCCTCCAGGTTGGCATCATGGTTTATAGGAGGAGACGTCCCCTCTTTCACAGTATTTGTTGAGTTGATGATGACCTCATGGCAGCCTGGTTAAGGTGCTTGCATTCTTGTCATCCCACTAGATCTTTGCCGTGCCAGCTGTGGAATGGCTGATCTGGCAGATACCTGACTGCGGTTGACCTGATCCAGCCCTAAGGCATTTCCCTGGCATCGTAAACTAACTTGTGATCTCTTCTTTGTTGTTTGGCCCAACAAAGGCTCTCCTTGTGGCGGCTCAATGCTGGCTCAGCTTTCCGAGGCTCTGACATGTCCTAAGCTGCTCCTGGCTCAGTAGTCCACCTCTCACCTCTGATAAGGGGGTCACCTGACCCCTGCCAGTTGAACCTGTGACTTTCAACATGACAAGTCACTTTCAACTCAGAGTCCATGTCACATGGGAGTTGAGGAAAGCTGAGGAGTTAAACTGCACCATTTGGCTACTCTACTCTGCATCCTTAACTAGGTGGGGCTGGGTGCCCCCAGGCTTTCTTTCCAGGCCTCAGATAAGGAGCAGGGAAACAGCCTCTCTGTCCCGTGTTTCCTGCCTTAACAAACACATCTGCCATACCCTGCACCAAAGACCAGAGCGAGAAATTGCAATGTGTGCATGGCCATTTTCCACTGCTCAGCCTCTGTGTTGCAGGAATATCTGAAACTGCCTTTGTTACACATTCATACAAGCAAGTTTTCTGCCTCATCACATCAAAAGTAAACAGTGTTAAAATACCTTGAATAAAATAGTAGAATGTCTGAAAGTCGTCCTTCCTTCCCTCTCCTTATTTTTACCCTTGGGCCATTCTCTCCTTTAGGGGCATCACCTCCTGCGGAGTTCAATGGAAGTTCACACATAGCAAATGTCAGCAGCTGGTTATCTCAGGTGTCTTTTGACTTTTCAGGGTAGAGGTATTTCCATGCCTTCTGTGAGAGGGTCCAGGAGACCTACAGCATCACTCTTACCCAGGTGTTCCCAAGCCGTGTCCCAACTTCTCAGAGGCCCTATCCAGGTCACCTTGTTCATCTCCTTCCTTCAGATTCTCAAATGTTGCCTTCTTAGGGAAGCTTTTTCTGACCACCCTATATAAAGTAGCACCTTCACACCCCACCCTACCCCTTTCACTCTCTGTCCCACTTGCCCTACTTAATTTTTAAATAGGAGTTATCACCAGCTGACATTTTGTGTTTCTTTATGTGTGCTGTCCCTGACTAGAATGCAAGGTCTTTTGAAGCAAGGACTTCTCTGACTATTGTTTCACCAGCCCTTAGTAGAAATTCAAATAAATATTTGTTGAATTGCTGTTGAATGAAAAGTAGTACTAGTTCACATGTTATTTGCTGGTCTGTACAGTGCAGTCCTCAGTCCTTAAGAAACTTGGTTCTAGTCCACGCAGATGGACCCCCGCCCCACCCAACACAGACTCTGTCCAGCCTCAGCAGGCCCAGATTCCTATGTTATATCGAGGAACAAAAATAAACATTGTATCACTGAGTATTTGATAAGTTCTCATATGTCTTTTATATAACTCTGTACTGGAAAACTTCTAATGGAGAAATGCATTGCATTCTAGGATGTCTTGACTATCCACTTGACAGATTGTGAGTTTCTGTGTTATGCCAGGCACTGTTCTAGGAACTGGGGGTACAGTGGATAGCAAGAGTGACACAGTCCTCACTCTCAAGGAACTTACATTCTAGTGGGGCAGGACAGACAATAAGGAAATACTCAAAAATATATAAGATCATTTCATATTGTAATAAGTATTGTACTGCTTCCTGTGAAATCCTGTTTTGGTTTTGTTTTTTTTTTTTTTTTTTTTTTGCAAATGGAAATATTTTAAAGAATTTAATCATTTTTGTTTTTGTTTATTGGTTTTTTTATTAGAACTTATTTAATATGCAGTTGTTTATAAAACATGCTATTAATAGCTTCACAAAGCTTTATCTTATTTTCTGCAAATGAGTGTTCTTCAGAGCTGCTCCAACCTGGAACCTAGACTTGCTTGTAGTCTTGGCTGTCCTTGGGCTGCCACGGGAGGCCACCTGACCTTTCTAAGGCCCACTCTTCTCACCAGGAAGTCAGCACAAAGAATTCAAGAAACTCAGTCACATAAGCCTAAGTGTTTTATCTCCTTGTAGCAGTTCTGTTTCCAGTTCTGTTTCCTGAGTGCTGTGTGAGATAAATCTGTTGCCTAGTGTCTGTCAGCTTCACTGGCACATTGGTGAGGTCTTTTGCCCTCCACTTCTGCACTCTCTTCATGTGAGGAGTATCATCTTACAACTAATTCTAACATTTTTCACCTGATAGCTTCCTCTAAGACAACTTGGTGCCTTCTTGGGTAAGACCCAAAGATTACCCACCTTATGTAGGGTGCCCAAGCACTCTTTTCCTCTCCATCTGAATGATGCATCCCTTGCCCATGTGACTGATACCAATGCCTTTGCCTCACCTCCCAGGTGAGACCTTATCCCCTCTCTCACAGAAGGATATAGCTTTACATTCTAAGGCTTTTCAGTGAAACTCTGGTCAGCCTGTTAATATGACCTTCTCCATAAGAGACAAGGCCTCTCTGTCACTCATCATAGCTCACTGCAAACTTGAACTCCTGGACTCAAGCGATTCTCCCACTTCCGCCTCCCAAGTAGCTAGGACTCCAGGCACACACCCCCATTCCTGGCTAATTGTTAAATGTTTTTGTAGAGACAGGGTCTCCCTATGTTGCCCAGGCTGGTCTCCAACGCAAGCAATCCTCCTGCCTTGGCCTTCCAAACTGCTAGATTACAGGCGTGGGCCACTGCACCCCGCCAGTGTGATCCTAAACAGTGTGATCTTAAACAGTACTACAGAATTCATGTCATAAAATCACATACAATATCAAAGAGGTGCTTTCCTCACAATATTATCTATGAACTTGTGAGTGTAGGTTACCTATCTTTCATGGGAAGGGATAGTATCTTCTGAAATAAATCTTGTTTCTTCTTTTATGTTGTCTAACAGACTGTGGACAATTGTATCATAAACCCCAAAGCAACTCATATCTCTTTGCCCTTGTCATCACTGTAAAATAGTAAGATTGGTAACCCAAACCATACATCAGTCAGCCTTTCCTCATATACCTGGATTTTTGTTATTTTCCCTTTAGAAATGGTATAAGACCTTTGGGGTTCCAAACTGTTTTCTTAACATTGATATGTTGAATTATATTCTGAGAGTGCCTGTGTGAAGAATTATGAGGGTTAATTCTGAATTATAACTGTTGTTGATTTGATACTGGTTCTTGTGTGTAGAGGGTTAGATTTAGATTTTAGTATCAGTTTTATGTTTTTTATTGTTTGTGAACTTGAGCAAGTTACATAACTTCTTGGGCTATCATTTCCTCATGTATAGTGGGGTTGTAATATCTGTTCTGCTTCATAGGGTTGTTGATTATGATTATATGAGATTATGTGTATATGAAAATATTAAACACATGTAAAATGGAATTAAGAAATCTGAGGATAAGTTTTTAGTTTGAAAAATAGTGTCTAATAGATGACCTGGAAAGAGGAGAACTAATAATTGAGTGTTTACTATGTGCCAGGCATCACTTATTTTTGGGGGGGAGGATTTTTTTTTTATTTCAGCATATTATGAGGGTACAAATGTTAATGTTACGTATATTGCCCGTGCCCCCCCCTCGAGTCAGAGCTTCAAGAGTGACCATCCCTCAAATGTTGCACATCTCACTCATTATATTTATATATACCCATCCCCTCCTTCCCCCTCCCACCTGCCTGACACCTGATAAATGTTATTCCTATATGTCCACTTACGTGTTGATCCGTTAATACCAATTTGTTGGTGAGTACATGTGGTGCTTTGTTTTTCCATTCTTGAAATACTTCACTTAGTAGAATAGGTTCCAGCTCTATCCAGGAAAATACAAGAGGTGCTATATCACCATTGTTTCTTAGAGCTGAATAGTACTCCATGTTATACATATGCCACATTTTATTAAGCCACTCATGTATTGATGGGCACCTGTGTTGTTTCCACAACTTTGCAATTGTGAATTGTGCTGCTATAAACATTCAAGTGCAGGTGTCTTTTTTGTAGAGTATCATTTGACCTTTTGGGTAGACGCCTAGTAGTGGAATTGCTAGATCAAATGGTAGATCTACTTGTATCGCTTTAAGGTATCTCCATATTGCTTTCCACAGAGGTGGAACTAGTTTGCAGTCCCACCAGCAGTGTAGGAGTGTTCCTATCTCTCCATATCCACACCAACATTTATTGTTTGGGGACTTTTTGATAAAGGCCATTCTTAGTGGAAATAAGCGATATCTCATTGTGGTTTTGATTTGCATTCCCCTGATGATTAGAGATGTTGAGCATCTTTTCATATGTTTGTTGGCCATGATTCTGTCTTCTTTTGAAAAATTTCTATTCATGTCCTTTGCCCACTTTTTGATAGGGTTGTTTGATTTTTTCTTGCTGATTTTCCTGAGTTCTAAATAGATTCTAGTTATCAGATATCGGATATGTTTATCGGATATGTAGCTTGTGAAAATTTTCTCCCATTCTGTGGGTTGTCTGTTTGCTCTCTTGACAGTTTCTTTGACTATGCAGAACCTTTTTAATTTGATCAGGTCCCTGTTATTTATTTTTGTTGCTGCTGTGATTGCCTTTGGGGTCTTCTTCATAAATTCTTTGCCTAGGTCAATGTCTAGAAAAGTATTTCCGATGTTTTCCTCTAGCATTCGAATAGTTTCACACCTAAGGTTCAAGTCTGTTACCCAGCATGAGTTGATTTTTGTGAAAGGTGAAAGGTGTGGGTCCTGTTTCAGTCTTCTACATGTGGCTATCCAGTTTTCCAGGCATCACTTTTGAAAATACTTTTTAATTTCAAGGTAATAATTATGTTTGAGGAAGAAGACAGGAAAATGACATCAATTAAATCTATAATATTTTGTGCTTGGAAAAAAACTGAAGCAAGAATGGCAAAATGGTAGCATTTACTAGATGTAAGTAATGAGACACGAGTATTCACCATGTTACTCTTCGAAAATTACAGAAATATTTCATAACTTTTCTTTTTTTTGGAGACAAGGTCTTGTTCTGTTGCCCAGGCTGGAGTGCTGTGATGTCATCATAGCTCACTGCAAACTCAAACTCCTGAGTCCAAGAGTTCCTCTTGCCTCAGCCTCCTGAATAACTGGGACTACAGGCATGCACCACCACATCCAGCTATAATTTTTAAAATTTATTTTGTAGAGATAGGGTCTTACTATTGCCCAGACTGGTCTCAAACTCCTGGCCTCAAGTGATCCTCCTGCCTTGGCCTACCAAAGTGCTAGGATTATAGGCATGAGTCACCGTGCCCAGCAACATTTTAAAAATAGAATATCACCTTTTATCAAGATACACTGTTTGAGTTGATATGCTTACGTATACTAGAGAATCATATATAGACATTAATGTTAATATCAATTTCATGAATATGAAAACAGGTTTCACATATTTAAGTAGCTAGTGGGTTTTTTTGCAATTAAATTTTGTTTAATTATGTTATTTTTTATTTCCACAGGTTTATAAAGTTCTGGTCTCAGTGGGTAGGAGTGAATGGTTTGTCTTCAGGAGATATGCAGAGTTTGATAAACTTTATAACACTGTAAGTAATAGTCATTTTACAAGATTTCTATTTAAAAAAAAACACGTACGAAAACCCCAAAATATGAGAGATTTATTTGAATGATTAAATTAACACTCATATATATCAGACAAGCAGAAAGGGTAAGAGAATTTTTAAAAGTATCCTAACTTTGGAATTCTTAGAAAAAAGGACAGACACATACCGTTGAGCAGTTCCAAATAAACCACCGAAAAGGTGAGAAATAGATGAACAGCTTAAAATACATATTAATGTCATAGACTATTAGAAATAAATTATTTCTACCTACCTCTCTAATAATTGTTAATCATCATGGTATTTCTGGTTAAATTGCCCAACTGTAAGGTTTATGTTTGAAAGTCTGTCATGAGTCTACCCCCTCCCATTGTTTCATTCTTAGTTAGAGGAAGTCCTAGATTCCACATTTTAAATACCTCAACACAAGTGAAATGAGTATTAACTTTCAGAAGTTCAAGTTCCGACAGGTACTGGGGTGGAGAGACCAATTAGCTATTTATTTTAATTAATTAAAACGTTTGATTTGTGGAGCTAGGGTGATGCCATGGCACTCACTCTAGCTGGGCACACAAGTGAAACTCTGTCTCAAAAAAAAAAAAAAAATGATAAAGACGTGTAAGGCAG